AAACACCCACGAACACACAATCAAAATAATAATCTTTTAAATTTTTCTTTTCTCCCCCAGCTACCCCAGGAGTCTGTGTATCCGCTTCCCTGCAACTGCCCATGACAGGATCCAAGTTCTCATAGGCACAGGAAGGGTCTAGAAAATCCCCACCAGGCAGCAGTGAGCTCTCCGTGTGAGCAGGAGGCCTTCACAGCTTTACTGACTTGGCACCGCTGTGTGTTTCACAATGAGCATGTCCCGGTTGTGCCATTTGCAAATGGTGGAGCAAGGAATAATAACAGCTGTCCTTTACTGAGTGTGCAATACAAGCTAGACACCGAATTAGGTCCTTTATGCCCACCACAGCACCCCAGCCTCCTTGTGGTTCTGTGAGACAGGACGGTGATTACAGGACTGGGTGAAGGGACCGAGACTTAAAGACACCACGTAGTTGCTAAGTGGTAGAGCCAGCATCTGAACGCAAGACCCAACGCGAAGCCAAGTGCTCATTTTCTCACGGGGGTCATTTCTTTTTTTGCCAGTACCGCGCAGAAAGGGCGCTGTGACCAGTCACGGGGAGGGCACCGACTTATCCTGAGCTGCTTCGAAGTGGAGAAAATGCTGCCCAGGCTGCTTGCTGACTCTGCTGAAGTTCCGTCTGCCACGTCCTATCTCCCGGCCCCTCCCCCTGCTCCTCGGTCCTCACCATTCTTGGCAATGATCTCCCCATGTGTGAATTCCATTAAAGGCCTGCTCATTGCTATTTCGGGCTGTGCATTAGCAGCAGGACTTTGATTTGATGGGAAAAAGCCAGACACCTCGGAGTGATGAAAAACAAATTTCAATATCCTCCTGCTCACCATCATCCCAGAAGCCCTCGCCCATGGCTCCTGGGAGGACAATGCAGCCAACGTGTGGGGATGCTGAAATCGTCACCATCTCCGGGACCTCTGAACTTGACCATTCCCTCCTGAAAACCGGCTCCCGTTTCCCTCCTTCAGGTCGCCACTCCAATTCCCCAAGGTCATTCCTGAATACTGTTTATCAACATCTGTTCCCTTCCACCCCCTGCTCTTCCTGAGCCCCCAGTGTTTTGCTTCCTGTATAAGGTTCTTCCCGTCGGATACACTGTACACTAACTCTTCACTTGCTGTTTTCTCTCCACTACGCTGGTAGAACTCTTTTTTCCACAGTTCCATCCCCCAGCACCTACACAGTTCACAGAACTCACAGGTGACCACAGGTTGGAAGAGCAAAGGAATCTACCAAGAGGGTCAAGGAACACAGGGCTTGGGAAGTTCCTGAGCACAGGGCCTAGATTCCCTAGACGCCACAGCAAGAAAGAACTGTTAACACAGTAACTTGAAAACTCGGGGGAAAAAAAAACATCTCTCTGCAGAGCTGTTTTGAATCTAGGCTGGCCGGCTCTGTGAATGGGAGGCTTGGGGAAATAAACTCACCAGGAAGTTGTGTGCAGTTGGAGTCCATTCAGCTCCATAACACGTGTGCACAAACAAAAAGCCCCATTTGGATGAAAATAGCAGGAAGTCCTTCCCCAGGGACACCTGGTGAGGTCACAGGCCTTGGCTCTGCTGCTTCCATCCTGGTCAGGTCTCCAGGCTCCAGAACTCACTGGGGCCAGGAACCGTATCTAGACCCTCAGGCCTCCCCGGGAGTTGCTGGCCAGGCCCACACAACAGGGCACACCTGTGAGAAATCCCCAGCGCTTCAGTAAGGGTACTAAAAGCCACAACAGGGGCCTGCTCAGTAAAACTTTGCTTTCCTGAGCTCAATCCTAGAAACCACATTAAAAGCCAGGCACGGAAATGGGTCCTGGTAATCCTAGAGATACAGGCAGATCCCTGGGACTCATTGGCTAGCCAGACTAGAGTGAACTCCAGGCCAATGGGAGATCTTGTTTCAAAATGAGGTACGCAGCGTTCCTGAGGAGTGACAGCTGAGGTAATCAATCCCCTGACCGCTGAGTCTAGTTGCGCACGCACGCACGCACGCACGCACGCACGCACGCATGCGCACTTAAATTTTAAAAAGTTTAAAAAAAATCACTCTACCCGATATTCCATGTGCTCACAGCATCCATCCCTCACAACCAGCCCCATGAGGTGGCCATGACTACCCTCGTCCCCGTCTCAGCAGCTGGCCCTGAGTCACATGTCACAACTTCAGATCCAAGCCAGCAACACAACCGATTTCCTCTCAGCCGCTTCACACACTTGCTGAGAGACTTTAGGCAAGCGCCTGTCCCTTTCCGGGCTGAGGCTTCTGTACCTGTGCACGAGACTGCAGCATTCCGTGCGTGGCCTCTAAGACGTCTTCCTGGCCTAACTTCTTAGATCTTTTGTAGAAGTCCCAACACAGAAGGACAGGACTGAGAATCCCCCGCTTGGCAGATCCGGCTAGGGATCTGCCCCTGACCGCCGCATCAGTTCCACTAGCTGGAGGAAGGTTAAGGGTAACAAGTTCCATGCGGGGTAAACCACACAGACACAGGTGACAAGGAGCAGAGCCAGTAAGGAACAAAGGAGATCCCTGAGAGAGACCCAGCATAAGCGAGCCTGCCCTGGGCCTTTTTTTTTTTAGGACCACAGTGTCAGATTCAAAGAGAAGCCCTGGGCAAAGAGGCACTTCCCACTCCAGGAACCCAGGCCTATCCCNGTGAACTTGTCCTGTGCAGAGTTAGATCGGGGTTTCCCTCTAGTCGACTCACCCAGCTCCGGACATCTCACGCTGAAGCCCAGACAACCCAGAGGAAGGCTGATTCACCCCAACAAATGGTGCATCATGCAAGACAAAAGAAAAATTCCCAAAGGATGAACCATATAGATTAGGAAGAGACCAGTCATTCCCAACCCTTCAAAAGGACAGCTCCTGACATCATAGATACCATGGATATCCACGGATACTACAGCTGCCATGATGGGGGACCTGTGCCATTTCTTATGAGAGAGTTCTCCAGTTCTAACAAGAATCCTGGCAGGGCGCACGCCTTTAATCCCAGCACTCGGGAGGCAGAGGCAGGCGGATCTCTGGGAGTTCGAGGCCAGCCTGGTCTACAAGAGCTAGTTCCAGGACAGGCTCCAAAACCACAGAGAAACCCTGTCTCGAAAAACCAATAAATAAATAAATAAAATAAAAAAGAACGCTGGTTTGGCTCAGGGGCCCAACATGGTGGCTATGCTAATCTTCCTGGTGTGCTGAAAGCCAGTGTCCCAGAGGCAGAAGGAAGAGGAGGACAGAGCGAGCCCTGTATTATGTAGCAATTTCCTCCATGATCAACCCCAGCTCTTTCAGACATAGGGGTGCTTGCGCTAGAGCAGTGGTTCTCAACCTGTGGGTCATGACCCCTTTTTTGGGGGGGAGTCACAGATCAGATACCCCACGTGTCAGATATTTGTATGATGATTCTGAACAGTAGCAAAATTACAGTTATGAAGCAGCAATGAAATAATTGTATGGTTGGGGTCACCCCAACATGAAGAACTGTATTATAGGATCGCAGCACTGGGAAGGTTGAGAACCCCTGCTCTAGAGGGGGTGAAAACATCCCATTCTGCTGGGAAGTTCATTAAACTGAAGAAGGAAACGACTAGAGGCTTCCAGGAAGTCCCTGAAACTGACCAGAATAGGTAGGTTCCCTCCCTCCTCAACTGTATATAAGTAGTAAGGACTAGCTCCCTCCCAAGGCTCAGCCCCGCCTAGCCATCTGGATGCTGCTCAGAGCAACTGAGTGAGCTGCCTGCAAGCAGCATGCAATGAACTCCAGACTTCCAGCTCTCATGAGCGGCTACCCTTGTTGGGCAGGCCTCGGTGAGGCTGTGTCTGGAGGTTACCCCTCACCTCTGTTACTGTAAGTAACCCCAGTAAAAATTACTGGTTCGCAGAGTTGGATTTTGGCGGCATCCTTACTTTGGTCTACCACCGGTAAGCAGATGTTTCCTCGCCTCTCCCCAAGAGTAGTGTCACAAAGCCCCCTGTCCCTGCACCAGTGAGTTGCCCTTTCACCACACTGGGGACTCCCCTGATCCTTTTCTGTCCGTGTCCAAAGAGCCCAAATTTGGAATAAACCCTTCTTCTCCCTTTCTACCCAGGCCAAGCAGCCATTCCCACCCTTTAGGATGGGGAAGGCTTTGCTCTGGCCCTTTCTTGGCAACAAGACTTCCATTACTCATCAGCTTCCAGGGTGTCTCGGAGGCTGCCAAGAGCGGGCGGGCAGCTCTCCAAGCCAAGCTTCCTTATCTCCAGCGTCTGTGTGGACAAGGAAAGCGAGACCATTGGTGAGGGAAATCTATCAAGGCCCTCAGAGTCCCTGGCCAAGTACAGAAAGCTCTAGGAGGCCAGGTGGAGTGGGGCTGAGGGAAGAACGGGCAATCAATTGATGGACACAGCGTCGGCCATTCATCCCCCTCATTCGTGAATCGAGACAGTTATGCCGGAAGGCAAATCAATGTGGGGATTCTTCTGAACCAGGCCGCCGCCCTGCATGAATGAGGTTAAGGAAAAGCTGGACCCGTGGAAGGCAGGAGGCTTTGGGCAATGCACTCCTCAGCAGAATCTTGGGTAGATGAAAGAATCGGGGTCAGAGGTGCCAAATCCCTGCCCAGCCTGGTGCTTCTCCCTGTCTTCCTCTAATCGCCTTCACTTCCTGCCTTGTCCTGGCTGGAGCAAGGACAGCAGCTGCTTCCAGTCCCTTCCCGCCCTTAAGCACACACACACACACACACACACACACACACACACACACACACACGCCTGCAGTGAACTCCAAGAAGCACCGGAAACACAGCCTAAGGAAATCCAAGCAGGATGTGAAGCAGCCCAGCAATCTCCCAGCGACCAAGAGACCAAGGGAAAGCTGTGTCTTGGCAAGATGCCCCACAAAGGGACCAAGGATGGAGAGCTTGGGGACCAGGCCACTAAACTTCTTCCTTCCTGTCGGTGACACCTGCATCAGACTGGCGTTGAAGGTGAGTGACAAAGGAAGGGAGCCGTTCACTTACTCGTTCTTCTCCAGGTCCAGGATCAGTTCTTGCCCTTCAGCCGTGACCCTGAGCTCCGCTGTGAGTGGATGCTAAAAACAACAATGAAAGGATGTCAGTTCCTGGAAGCAGGGGCCGAGGCTCCCAGGGCCCAGCACCAGATCTGACGCCGCGCCAGCACAGGGATCCTCCGGAAGCCCGCGAGGAAAGGTCACTAGCCTTTCCAGCCTAAGCTTGAAGTGACCTCAGTCCCAAAACAACTCAGATCTTCCCCAATCTGCTTTCCCCTAAGAAGCAAAGGAGAGAAACTCAAGCTGAGGTTCAAGGCTGAGCAGGTGCATATGCAGTCTGGTGAAGGCTCCCACGGAGAGACCTGATCCTCAGAAGTAAATTACCTGGAGGGTCAGACCCAGGGTTGATGCATAGGCTGACATCTGTGCTCCTGTGAACCTGGACATGTCACTAAGCCTCCCTACTTCTCTGTCTCCTCTTTCCTCACCTGAGGTGTTAGTAACCAATGTCACAAGGATCCTTGAGAACTGAATGAGAAAATGAATGTAACGAGTGTATCGTGGTGCCTAATTCAAAAGAAGCTCTCATCTTAACAAAATACTGAAGGGTCTTCTAGAGGGTAAGTTCTTTCATATTTTGTTTTATTTTATGTGAGCCCACAATTTGGAACTTCAATCATCTCAGGGGTGCCAACAAAGAGTATCACAAATTAGGGTTTTATAAGTCCAGAAGTAAATGTATTTTAAACAAACAGCAGCAATTTACTGATGGCCAGACACACCATACACCCAGTATAGATCACCTAAGACATGCAAATGGCCAGCAAGCATGAAGACTATGTTGAAGATCACGGGTACATGGGTAAAATCCCACTCTCCCCATGTAAAGAAAAAGAACAACCTTTAAAAAATAGGATATCCTAAACAAAATCAAAATGTAAATCACAATGTACATCACAATGGACACTCTCAGATCCTATGGCTGAGAACTTGCACTGAAACCATCTGTCTGAAAAGTAATTTGACAGTATGAACCAAAAGTTTTTAAATGTGTAAACTAACTCAGCAATATAAGACTATCTTTGAAAGGAACCAATGAGACTTACTACTTGCATTTAAAAAAAAAAACTTTTGCTGTGTATGTGTGTGCTATATGCACAAGTATGTGCATGCGCGCATGTGTGCACGTGTGGTATGTGCATTTGTTAGAGATGAAACCCAGGACTTCAAGCAAACACGCTGCAAACTGAGCCACAGCCACAGCCCAGCCTCATTCCCTTCCTTAATTCCTGTTCCTCTCATTCCCTGTTGGGATCTGGGCATTGGACTTGGAGATCACCAAGACCTCTGATGATCAAGTACCTCGTGCAATGCCTACTTCACCCTGTTGCCTCATCTTCAGAAGGGTTTGGAAGCCAGGATGCAGGGAGACAAATGGGTGCCTAGGCAGTTTTACTGCTGTCCAGGCTCCCTGTCTGAGGCACTGACTCAGCACAAGGCCAGTGCCTGCTGTGATTGCTGCCCATTTGTGATTTTGCCCTGGGGACTTCTGGTGTGCCCTACCCAGTCACAGGGAGGATCAAGGACACACAGCCCCAATGGGCATTTGAGTACATGACAAGAGAACTCCAGCAAATCCTTACCCAAGGGGCAGGCACCCATGTGACAGCCCACACAGAAACAGAAGGCTGGCACAGTGCAAGTGATACCATGTGCCCCACACAGAGACACAGCCTGCCACATGAGAGCTCGTATTTATTTTTGTGTAGGTAATCCAAAAATACTTCTGTTCCTGGAGGGTGCTCAGACAGGCTTAAAATCAGATGTTCCCTGTTTCCAGGGAACAGTTCAAGCAAAACAATGAAATTGCGTTTCTGTGAAGCTTCCCTTCCAACCCTACTATAGACGGCTTTCCTCCTGGAACGCCAATACTGCCTAAAGAAGGGTCAACATCATGCCTCCTGGCAAGTATGTGAAGGTGCCCACTGTTTGTACTTCCCTGAAAGAAGGACCCCAAATCCTTTCTGTATAGAGTGAAATTAAACAGACCTCCAGCTCCACGCCATCTGAGAAGCTTATCCTGTGTGCATGAATCATCCTAAAACATCTGTATCAGAGCCCATACATAGTCAGCGTGTCAGGAATGACTAATAAATCAGTGAATTACCCACATGTAAGTAAGAATCAGTGAATCAACCCACACTCTTTCTTCCCTTCTCTCTCTCCCCTCTCTCCTGCATTTAACAAATATTTATGGTGCCAGGCACTGGGCTGACTATCCCTGCAGAATACAATGAGCCACGCTCTGGGCAGACAATGGCTGGGAACAAAGACAGGATCTGGTCCTCCACTTTGTTTCTCAGGCTTTTCCTGAGGATGCCCAGCATCCAACATCTGGAGGGAACAAAGGAGCCTCTATAAAAAGTATCATGTCCATTCTTTGGCAATAATGGTGATGGATAAAATATCCAAAACCTTAAATTTAATAAGAACAATCAGCCTGAGGATGGTCATCTATTAATTTGTCTAACTTCTCCCGAAGCTATTTTCAGCCTTTCCTACTTTAGGACGGAATGAGTTCATACATTTTCCCCCCCTTTGCTTTCAGGGTAAAATGTTCCCTTCTTTTATTGTCCTGAAATTTCTCTGTAAGTCCCCTTCTTGTGCCCAAGCTGGTGAACTGGGGACTCGTCTGTGTGACTCTGCAGTAACTTACGGAATTCTGGGCATTTCTCATCTGTTTATCTTTCCAGATTCCAAGGCCACAATTGTCCAAGTCTTCCCTGACACTTCTTTCCCCAGCTTTAATCTTGTTCCTATCTGTTGCCCAATAAATTACAGGCCATTTGACCCCCTCGGAGATCATAGAAACCAGTCCTTCAAACCGGGCATGGTAGTGTCTATCCCTGTAATCCTTGCACTAGGAAGGCAAAGGAGGAGAGTCTCAAATTAGAGACCAGAGTAGGATATGTAGCAAGACTCTGCTGAGAAAGAGAAAGTCAGCACTTTTCCAAAACTCTGTTCCTCTTTATCCCTATTAAAACTGATTTTATAAAGTGAGGAAGTGCAAGTCATCTGTAAAGCAGAAGGTCCTGAACTACTGTCACGCAACCATCGGTTTTCCTTCTCTGCCTCACCACCCCTAACTCGGGCGTTCAGAACCAGAAGCAAGAACACCCAGGGTTCGCAGCCATGTTCCGACTGCCTGGATAGCACCTGTGCATCTTGCTAATGTCCTGGCCTGAGGAGCCCGTAGGACTTTCTAAAGATATAGAATCTAATTTGAGCACCCTAGCTTGCCTCTTATTAAATACGCTGAGCATGGCGGCGCGCGCGCACCTGTAATCTCAGCATTTGAGAAATGGAGGCGCTCATTCTCAGCTATGTAGTGAGTTAGAAGGTAGCCTGGGCTCCAGGGGGTTCTGCCCCTCCCTCAGAAAACAAAAAGATGAAACAAAACAAAAATGTCCATCAAGATCTGTGACAAAATCACATTTACACTAAATCTGTGACAGTATTTCTTAAAGATTTGTGTGTGTGTGTGTGTGTGTGTGTGTGTGTGTATGTTTTGCCTGCGTATACATCTATCTGAGCACTGTGTGTATGCCGTGTACCCTTTCAGAGGCCAGACACCTTTGGATCTCCTGGAACTGGAGTTACAGATGGTTGTGACCCACTGTGTGGGTACTGGAAACTGAACCCCAGTCCTCTACAGCAGTAGAAAGTGCTTTTAACTGCTGAGCCATCTCTCCAACCCCGGTCCCGTCATGATTACTGTGGGTTTTCAGCTACCCAACTGAAAGGGCTTGGGAATGATCTACACGCTTGTCATACAGTGAAGGAAAGCCCCTGCTAAGATATCCCAAACTGGCTCAGAGAAAGGTTAGGACAGAAGCTGTGGTGATGCCTAGGTGGCCCCATGTCATTCCGGCTTCTCCATCAGAGTTACTTGAAAGGCTTACCTTTCCTCTCCTGGGGTTTTCTGAAGTCCGCCACTGAGGTATTATAAGTTCATGCTGTGGCTGAGGCCCGCCTTCTTTGCTTCCATCTGCCAACACAAGACAGCATAACCCTAAGAATTCCAGACCTCCACAGCTCAGACCCTCAGTAGAGGGCATATGGCTCGAAACCCAAGTACTGCTCCAGCCCACTTCTGAAGCAATCCTTGCTCCCTGGAAAGTGTCAGAGACCTGCTGGGCTCTCCTTTGCCTTGGTGACAAAGTGATAAAGACAGCAAACAGGGTCTGTGTCCTTGCCAAGAGACAGGAAATGAGCAGACATTCTCAGGTGATGGTAACTGCCTTGGGGAAAAGTAAGACCATGTCACCGGATAAAGGGACACCTAGCAGGAGTCCTGTTTTAAACAGGATGGTCAGTACTGATGGTGTTTAATTGAGACCTCAGGAGCCAAAGGAAGGTAGTTGTGCAAAAAAAAAAAAAAATTGGGGGGAAGAGCAAAGAGTGGCAAGTGCAGAAATGGCCTTGGCCTTGAAAAGGAACAAGCAGGAAGGGGAAACAGTCTAGTAAGTCAGAGGACATGGGTAAATATGCCAAGCAAGGAAGGGAGACATTCTAGTAAATCAAAGGATGTTGGTAAGAAACATGCTAAGCAAGCCAGCTGGGGGTGTAATGGCACAAAGGCATGAAGAGGGTCTGGATTTTTATTATAAGTAGACTCAGAAGGTTCTGGATGTCTTAAAACACAAGAGCAATAGGATCTGTATTAGTTTTCTTTGCAAAGATGACTCTGGGCAGAGAGTGGAGGGTGGGGGTAAGGACAGAATGGAAGCAGCAGGCAGGCAGCAAGGCTGGAGGCACACAGGAGCCCTGGTGAGAGGCGACGGTGGCTCCCACTTGGACAGCATCCTAGAGAGTAATGATGTGGTGAGATTCTGGGTATGATCAGAAGGCTGAGCTCACGCTGGCCTCCACAGAGCTTTAGAGATGACTGTCACCTCCCTGGGAGGTCTGACAGGGCCACAGGTAAAGGTGACATGGCCCCCCACCTGCAAACCATTAGCGTTGAATTGCAAATCGTTAACCTTAGCTGTCTTCCCTGCAAGTTTGCAGTTGTATTTCATTTCCTAGTCTCCAAACTTTCTCACACCAGTTCTCTCTTCTCCTCGCCACCCTTGGAGGTAGCCAGCCAGTTCCCAAGAAAAGAGGCCCCTTTCGGCCAGAGAAGAGTCATTTTCAAGAAAAAGGGAAACCTTGTCGGGTGGGTGGTGGAGTATGCCTTTAATCCCAGCACTCAGGAGGCAGAGGCAGGTGAATCTCTGTGGGTTCAAGGCCAGCCTGGTCTACAAAGCGAGTTCCAGGATAGCCAGGACTGTTATATACAGAAACCATGTTTCGGAAAGACAAAGTAAAGAAGGAAGGAAGGAAGGAAGGAAGGAAGGAAGGAAGGAAGGAAGGAAGGAAGGAAGGAAGGAAGGAAGGAAGGAAGGAGAGAGAGACCTCAACACTAGTTACAGATCAAGCATTTCCTGGTTCCTAAGCAAATGAAGTCTCTGAAACAAGATAAACCCAAAGAGTCCCAGGGATGTAGCTGAGCAGTCCAATGTTCTGTCCCTTCTAGTCCAATCGCATCAACCACATGAGTAGTATAAAAGATGGCCTGCTGGACATTGTGGTACACATCTGTAATCTCAGCAAGAGGCTATAGTGAGTTCCAAGACCGCCTAGGGCTACACAGCATCCTGTCTCAGGAAAGAAATTTTAAAGGTGGTCGGAGTGGTGGGGTTACCATTGATTAAATTTCTTTTCAGATGACTAATGTGATATATTTGCAATCAAAACATATCCTTAAAAAGAAAACTCACGGGTTTCATTTACACTGGTACCAATCAGAAGGGATGGACTCATTCACGTATTTAGTCGGTACATTCTGAGTTACCAACCCTATGCTACTTACCATGCATGGGTCTTACGGTTCAGGGGAGAACCAGCCAGGCAGAGTCCCTGATCGTGACTGACAAGTCTGGACTCTTAAACAAACGGAGCGGTGTGGCGTCTAGGAGAATGTCTAAAGGTCTCAGGATCATAAAAAGCACTGAATGTAATCTCGAGTCTGAACAAACACGGAACAGTTTGAGAGACTCACAACCTGGACATAAGGCAGGACCCACGTCGTATTGTCTTTCCAGCACCAGAACTGGAGCGCTGTTTAATAAACCGATGGGCGACTTGGCTAGGAGAATCTCTGGCTTTATTTGCTCTTGACAGAAGGCCTGTACTCGATGAAGTCTAACATTATTAACTGTGGGCCTGTGATGGACAAGGATACAAGCGGCTTCAGGATCATGGGAGATAAGCAACAATCACGTGATTGATTCTGTCTCGGCCACGGGACTCCACCTCATCAATCCCCTGATCTCTAGGGTTCTGCTAATGATTTTTAACCAGTTTTACACATTCACCTCTGCCACCTCATAGAGAAAGTCATAAGTGGGAGAAAAAAAAAAACCCTCTGTTGCATTTGGATGAGAGCCAAGAGTTTAACTTTGGGGAAATTATATTTCTGTGGTCTCTTGGTAGAACTTACAGTCATTAAAATCATAGTTTTGGAAAGCTATGTCATGATTTGGGAAGTACTTTTAAAATGTGTGTGTGGTATGTTTCCAAATTCATCTGTATGTAGTCACAGGAAGACAAGAAGAGGGAAAGCAAAATATTAATAGTAACTGCTCATTTGGGGACCATAAGTCATTTTACTACCCGTGGATTTTTATTTCTTCCCAGGTCTACAGCCACTCGCCTGAGTGGTCTCTGGAACTCAGGATCCAGGGACTTCCTTGCCCTTTATACTTAATGTTAGAAGGAAAATCAAACTCCAACGAAAGAACGACCCCCCCCCTTCCTGTGTGAAGCCTTGTGCCTCGGTTTCCCTTTTGGTATAAGAGCTTGGAAAAAAGGTGGGCTGAAGCACACGGGGGGAGGGGGGGACCCTTGGGTCAGGCTCTCTCGGGAGCTGGGGGATGCAGCCTCCCCAGCCGGTACCCCGGTGTCACTAGCTTGGTTTGAAAATGCTGATGGTTGGTACAGCAAGCACCCCTCTGAGTCAGCCCAGCCCCCAGCTGCTACAGCACTAAAGCTAAGCTCTCCCGGGTCAGAATGACAGAAGCCAGGCATTGCCCCTCCGGGACCCTCTCTTCCGCAAAATCCTAGGAGAGTCTCTGAGGGATGGGGCCCGGGAGGGAGAGTGTCTGGGAAAACAGTTGTGAGAAAACAGATATTTTCCAGCTTCCAAACTGGAAGTGCAGAGCCCATCCCCTTTCTTCACAGATGGGGAAACTGAGGCCAAAAGGAGGCTGGCGTTGGATGAGGTGGAAAGAGGACCCTTATTTCCAGAGTCAGGAGGTCTTCAATGTGGGGCGTACTATACATATCTCGATAGTGAACTTCAGCATACGACCTGCATGATGGGTGTGCGTGGCCCTTTGATGGTCTTAAAGTAGGGTCGCTGCCAACGGGGGGGATGCAAAGTGTACAGACAGAGATCCAGTAAACCATCCTATTCTAATCTCTTGATTTTCTACCCCCCTGCCATGCATTTGCCCCGCAGCAGGATCCCAGGGAGTGGCTCCCCCACCGATTGTGTATAGGATGCTTGGGTGCTCCTCTGGGGATGCTCTGAGAGCAGCGGGCGCAAAATAGCGATGAGAGAGAGGGAGAAAGAGAAGAGCAAAGTAGGAAAGATGGGAAGGAAATGGAGAGAGGATCCACTGGTTTTTGATTGTTCAGTGCGAGCACAGATTCACGACCTCCCATGGCTCACCACATGAGAACAAAGCCTGGGCTCCAAGGCTTGGGGGTGGCGGCAGCGCTCACGCCCCAGGGAGTGGCAGAGCTCTCAGGGATAGCGGATAGCGGTCCTGGAGCTCCAGGCCTGCAAGCGCGACTCCCAGACCCCCAGGTCACCCACCCCAGCCACCCTACGACCCTGCTGTGCGCTGCCACTTACTTGTCCATCCCAGCGGCCAGTGTAGCTGGAGGGCTGCGGTCAGCAAGCAGAACCGAGCGGCGCCCGCGCGCCCGGGCATGATAGCAATGGCCCTCTCACTGTCCGTGATCACACGACCCCTGCCATTGCCTGCCCCCGGCCTAGCGCCGCAGCAGCGCTTTTCAAGCAACCGCTGGCCTGAAAGCCTCCCAGTCCTAGTCCTGCAGCCCAGACGCTCCGCCCCCAGCCCCTCAGGGTTCAGCCTGGAGATCGAGGAGGAGAGGAGGAGGAGGCGCCACGCGGGGGTGGGGGGTGGTGGCTGAAGGGATAGAAGTGGGAGGAGCGAGTGAACCTCCCCCCCCCCCCAGTCTCCCTGACTCAGGTGAAGTGCACCCAGGGGAAGGGATGTTCCAAATGAGTCCACTGTGAACTAGGAATGTGTTTAGGGCTGAGGAAGCCCTGGGTTCCAGTCCCAGCACTTCAGAATTGCAGCAGTGTGGAGCACCTAGCACTTAGGGGGTGGAAGCCTGAGGATCCAAAGTTCAAGGTTATCTTTTGCTTTGTGAGTTCGAGGCCAACCTGGGCTACTTGAGACACTCTCTAGATTAACAAAGATCATCAGCCTGGTCACCTGGAGCGGGTAGGTATTAGCATCTCCGTTTTTAAAGGAGGGAGAGGGGGAACAAACCTGCAAAAAACTAAGTCCTTGGCCGTTAGGGTCCCCATCTGCACTGTTACAAAGCCTAATTCAACCTGCCTTATTTGATGAACTTTGAACAGAAAGAGCGATAGCCAGAAGTGATCCATAAAAGATTGCTTAGTAAAATTTCAAGAGGAGGCGCTAAAAGCTGAGTCTGGCGCCCACACTTGTCTTTTCCTTTCCCCCAAACCTTTGGCCAGAGCCAGATACCATAAAGATGTCTGGTTGGGAACTCTGGAAAATGGTGGGTGGGCGGGATAACTGCAAAGATAGTTCACTGTGAGGGGATAAAAAGTGTAGTTCTTAACCATTGCCGGGGACAAGAACCGTGTGTGTGTTCTCCCAACTTGCTGCGGTGGAATAGCAGATAGTGACTTAGGGAGTGGCGCTTGGGTCACCCAGGCAACCAATGGTACGACTGGTATGAGGCAGAAAAGAATTGTTTGATGAGTCGTGAAAGCTGGAATTTCAAGCCCCGCTGTCATCTGGTCAGAATCTGATAACCTTTCTGCTTGTTTGTAAACAACTGTGTCTTCACCTGGCCCCTTCTTGGTCTGCACAGAGAGCAAGCTCTGGCGTCTTTGTCTCCTGAGGACGCCAATGCTCTGTGTGAACCCATCCCGGAGGACTCATTTAACCCTGTTGTTATCTCTGTGAGCACCATCTCCACGCGCAGTCACACCAGGGCTAGGGTTCCAACACGTGGGAGGGGAGCAACTTAATCCATCACACAGTGTCCTCTCCTTCCCCAAAGATCATGCTTTGCACATGCAAAACAAAAATGCAAAACAAGCAAACCAACCAACCATTCACCCTCTCACTGGTGTGGATTGACAGTCCAAAATCTCGGCTGAACAACGTCTCCCTTTGGGATGTCTGAGAAGGGTGTGGCTCATCCTTGACCAAAACTCCACTGTGAGCCTGTGAAAGTATAAAATTCCAAAATGGTAGTATTTCAAAGGGAGCAAATAATAATAATAATAATAATAATAATAATAGAATGGGATGGCAGGTACCAAGGAGTCCAACAGTTTAGCCAGGCCAAACTGGTTATCTGCCCTCTAGGTGACTTGGCACAACAGGATCATCCTTCAACCCCTTAGCTCTCTGCCAGAGCCAGAGTGTGAGTGGAGGAAGAGGAGGAGATGACCTTGCCTCCTAAAACACCCTTGCCCCGGGTTTGTGGGGGGAGTGGAAGTCCTGATCAACTCTGAAATGTCTTTAGGGCCGTTCTTCCCATCTCTTCAAGGAGAAGCAGGTAAGTGACAGCCTTCCTTCATTCCCCGGCTGTACTCCTAGGACCCTCTGAGTTCCCAACTTCTCCTATACTGACTGGTTCCTCAAGGAACCAAGAAGGAGGGATTGTCCAGCCACAGTCTTTCAAAGTCCCTCCACCGTGCTCCTCGTTACTTACCGCTAATGAATAGGCTGAGAATGGGCCAAATCAGCAACTTCAGAGTCCTTTTACAAATCCTTCCCGGTGTCTTTTGCTTGCATTTCAACAAGCAACCTGGAGAAATGAGGCTGCTTCCCCTAGGACTCTCTCACAGCTAAGTGCATTCCTGCCATGGGCTCAATACAGGAGGTGTCCCCACCAAAGGTTCCTGTGTGTGGAAGGCTTGGTCCTCAGCTGCTAGCACCACCCAGAGGCGATTACTTCACAGGGTTGCTAATTTCATCCATGAGTTCATCTTTCCCAGTGGGCTATTGGGAGGTCTGTCCTGCTTAAAGGAAGTAAGGCCCTGGGGGCCTGCCTTTGAAGGCTATCTTCACTCCAGCCTCTCTCTACTTTCTGACTGTAGAGAGCATGTACCCTTGTTACTTAGAGCAGAAGGGCCTGGCAAGATGGTGCAGCAGGTTAAGGCACTGACCCTCAAGTCTGATGACCTGAGATTGATACCCAGGACCTACTTGGTACAAGGAGAAAACTAACTCTGTCAAGTGGTCCTCTATAGTCTCATGATGGCACACACACACACACACACACACACACACACAGAGAGAGAGAGAGAGAGAGAGAGAGAGAGAGAGAGAGAGAGAGAATAAAAAATCTTAAAAATGTAATTTCTTAAGAATTGAAAATTGAGAGTGGGAAGCCATGAAGAACTAACTGACCAAGCAGGCAGGTTCTTATAGGAATCTGGTACCAAGTCAGACCACATGTGCGGGGAAGACTGTGTGCAATACTGTGGGGAAGAGTGTACAAGTGTGTGAGAGATGGCTTTTGCTCTCCCTTTGCAACATCCAAGGCAACATGGTGGATGCAGCATAAATTGGAGAATTTGAATCACAAGACAGACCTCAGAGTTTCCCTGGAGAACTCTCCCTGTGGCTTCTGAGGTCCATAAAATAAGTGATTAAGCAGAAAAGCACAGCAGCCTTTACAGAATAAGATGCTTCCGTTTACGGTTACCGTCAAGCTTGGGAACACAGGGCCACTGCTTAGGAAAATAAAACTAAATGTATTAAGAACTACAAAAGAGTAGACGAGACATGTGGAGACACACATAGTGTTCCTAGAAAGAAAAACTTTTCTTTTATTCTGTAACAGGGTCTCATTAGCCCAGGCTGGCCTCAAACGTGGCCTTAAACTTCTGTTAAACTTCTGATCCTCAACCCTCTACCTCAAAAGTGCCATAATTACAGGTGTGCATCACCACTACTGGGTTCATTCAGTGTTGGGGATCAAACCTAGGACCTCGTGTATGGTAGGCGAGCCCCCTACCAGCTGAACTCCATCCCTGGTTTTCCCCCTTAACTCTTCAATAGGAAAACGTTTTAAACAAACAGAAAAACTGAAGAAAAAATAGTATAATATGGGACTAGGGAAGAGGCTCAGTGGGAAAAAGTCCTTACTCTGTTGCTTGAAGACCTGAGTTCAAATCCCAGGGCACGAGAACTGGAGAGACCACTTGCTAGTTAAGAGCCTGCTGCTCTTCAGAGTTCAGTTTCTGAGTTCTACGGGCTTGTCACTGTCTGTGCTCCAGTTCCAGGGGATCTGACGCCCTCTTCTGGCATCCACAGGCACCTGCACATTTTTGCCATTTTCTCACACAAACACAAATACAGAAAGAAAAATAAATCTTTTTTTTTTTTTTTTTTTTTTTTTTTTTTAGGTTTTTCGAGACAGGGTTTCTCTGTGGCTTTGGAGCCTGTCCTGGAACTAGCTCTTGTAGACCAGGCTGGTCTCGAACTCACAGAGATCCGCCTGCCTCTGCCTCCCGAGTGCTGGGATTAAAGGCGTGCGCCACCACCGCCCGGCAGAAAAATAAATCTTAAAAAGAAAAAAAAACAAAGGCAGGCAGAGCTGCACGTGCCGGTGACCCCAGCGCTGGGGTTGGGAGGGGTGTGGAGAGAGGTAGGCCCCCGAAGTTCACTGGCCAGCTAGCACAGTCACAGTTCAGTGAGAAATCCTGTCTTAAAGGAATAGAGGAAGACCGTCAACCCCTCCTCTGGTCTACACATGGGCATGTGTACACACAGAGACACACAGACACCAGAAAATACGTAAACAAATAAACAAGATAATAGTACCACAAACACCACTACATCCACCATGCACACACATCAATTGTTTCTTTAAATAAAAGGTTTGAACCATATTAGTTCATAAAAAAGAACTAAATTTAAAAGTAGCTCATAAGAGATGGTGGAATGATTAATGTACAAGCTTGGAGGCAGAAGTGGGGTCCTTTAGAACTTCCCGTGCCATACTGACACAGGAACAAGCCGACTTGCAACCTCTGCGCCTGGAGGGCTTGCCATTTCTTTGTGAAGAATGTCCGTTCTGGGGCTGGAGAGACGTTGGTCGAGAGGTTAAGAACACCAACTGTTGTTGCAGAGGACCTGGGTTCGGTTACCATCACCCCACATGATGGCTCATAGTTGTCTATAACTCCAGCTCTAAGGGGTTCGGCACTCTCTTCTGGCCTCCGGGGACACTAGGCTTCTGGCAGTGATGTGCATACATATATACAGGTGAAACATCCCACACAGAGAAAAAATAAAATTGAGAAAATTGGGTATGGCTATCTTAGGAAAGAGAGTATATGCTATTGATCAGGAACACCGCTTTCCCATGTAACACCTAACTTAGTAATTATTTCTGGGAAATGATCCTAAGAACAGCATACTCTGAAGTTTGCTCACAGATTTATGGGCCAAAATGCTCATAGTGGGTTATTTATAATAGCAACAATATCGGAAACAACCTGAAGCTCCAGCTCTGGAGGAGTGTGTTGTAAATTACATAATTTCCATATGATGGATTATTACACAGCTGCTTAAAATGTAGAGGGTTTGTGCTCTGGTGTTCAGGGAGAGAAAATGCGAGATACAAAGTTATACCCAAGCAGAGCCCCAGTTATGCAAGAGAAAGACATTTTTTAAAAGGCTGGAAAGAAGTGTACTAACATGTTAGTGCGGTCTTGTCTATGTGGAGAGAGGGTGGAAGTGTCTGTTCTTGATTTTTAATGTGTGTGTGTGTGTGTGTCTTTAGTGATTAGGGAATAGGTAGATTGTAAATACAAAAACAATGCAAGAAAAGGGTCAGTCTCTCACATACCATTTGATAT